TCGTAATGTACAATTTTTGCACTTTGCACCCTGAAAAAAAAAATTAATACACCATTGAAAGGCCCCAATTGAAATTTTTAGGTTCATGAGGGTAATTTAATCTTTTAATAGTATCTCCAAATAAAAAAATTATTTCATGTGGTAAAATATAGTTTTAATAATAGAAGTCTCATTAAACAATCACGAAGTTATTGGATAGATTGGAATTGGTCAAAAAAAATTATATTTTTTCTTTGTTACGAAATCTTTTTTTCTGCAATTTAGTGAAAAAAAAAATAGTTGAATGGAAAAAATAACATTTTAATACTTTGCACTAGTAAAAGAAATACTTTCGATGTGTTGAGGATACTTTCATCTTTGCAGTAGTTCTTATTAAAATATCGAATGGGATGCAATGCGAAAGATTTATTACTTTTTAGGGTGAGAATTACTATTAATTTTTTTTAAGAGGCGCAAAGTGTGAAAATACTATATTTTGAGGGGTGCAAAGTGGAATTACGCCATTTTCCTTTTGCCATATGGGCTCAAATCACAGAAATAAATATATTGGGCTTGTTGAGAGTTGGGCCTTCTTTTAAAGTAATTGGTAATGTGGACACATAGATTAAAAAAAATGGACTTTAATTATCAAGATTAGCGGGCATAACCACAATTCCACACACACATATATTTAATTAATTAAATTATTGGTAGTATTAATTTACTATGATTATTTAAATTTTAATCATTTAACAAATGTTAGGATTGAAGAATAGGGTCAAGGTTGCTATCACCATTTGCATATAAAAGTATATTTACATAGATGATTGGATTATGGTTACTAAATATTTTATTATTATATAATAGTTATATTCATATTACAAATAAAAAAGTACATTAATAAAAAACGCTCAGAGCTCGTAAACTTAAGAACAGCTAAGAATGAACTGGAGCTCGAACTCGATTTGAATATGATCTCGAGCTTTTGTCGAGCCATCTCGATTCACCTACACTTCTACGAGAATCTAATGGATCAATCATACAACCACCTTCACTTAGTGCCCTAAAAGCAAAAATCCAAGCTCAGATTTCTTTATAGTTCAATTTTCTAAAACAATTTGAATTCGTTGGAGGAATATTAAACAATCTTTATATTTCGAAGACGGTCAATTTTGCCCCCTATCCCCTATTTAAGTGCGAAATAGGTTCGCACTTATTGTCTACAACTTTTTTCGCACCGAATCGAAGGAGAATTTCAAGCTTGACAGATACGTCTTTCATGGCGTCCGTCCGAAAACCAACCTTCCTTCCTTGATAGTGGAAAGGGTACACGCAATAAAATAGAAAGACTAGTAAAATAGCAAAGCTTACTTCTTTCCACTTTATCTTCAAGGAAGGCCGAGTCTTATTTGTCAGGCTTGTCATTCTCCTTCGATGGCGCGAAATAGTGACCGGCGGTCACCAAACCGCTTCTCGTCTGGAGCAGATATTCGACCGGTGACTCGCCGGAGACTCACTGAGCTCAGCGATTCCGGTTAACCCTATTTTAATTTTGGTACTTTTTTTTCAAAATTAGGGTTTCGGAATCATCTTCTCCAAATACTTGAAATTTCGCACGATTTTTGAAAGATCAAGTTCACTTCCTGCCTTCTCAGATCCCTAATTGAATTTCTTCTCAATTTTGGTTCAGTCATGCTAAATTATTATTTTTTTGGATCGAGCTGCGTGAGATTCGATTTACTTTGGTTTTCTTCCATTTGACCTTCTATTTGTACTGCTGCTTAGAAAGTTTGAATCTTTGAACCCTAATTTTAGTAGGGTGTTGATTATTTTTCCTCGGTTTCTCTGATTAGTTTGATTTTGTCTGTGATTTTGTTTGCTGATGATGTACTCTGCGTATATGTGTTTTTAGAAGCAACCTGAAATTGATTTAGGAGGTATTTGAAGCATGTAGATATGGCTAGATTTCACTATCCTTAATTGCCGTACTTTGTAGGATCGATAATCTCTGCACGATAAAATGTTTTTTCCAGACTCGACTTTTGGCGCGAATCACAGAGCCTGTATATGTAAGCTTTCATGACGTAGTCGTAAACGTAAATGTGACGATTACGTGTAAGTGACAGGTAAATGATTTGTTATGGCATGCTAACTAGCTTTTTCCAATTGATAATATTTTTCTTTTAATGAGGTTGCGTTGCCGAGAAGTCTGGCTGTTACGTGTTTGCGATTGGTCAGCGTAGCTCAATTTTATTCATTTACGATCTGAACTTGATCTTGATTTACAGCAAGAAGTACTTTAATCGTACACCTACCTGGAAAATCTACGATTTGATAATTAGCATTTTGGGATCGTGCGACTGCACTGTAGTAAGTATCCGACAACTCTGTTTTGTATTTAATGCAACTTGCTACTTTCCCTTTTCTTGATTAATCGTAATTAGCGTAATGAAACCTTGTCGTTTAGTACATAAATTTTCTGTATATCGTGTTTTGTTAGATTTTTCTTCTCTGTATTAAACCAAATTATGCCTGCCTCGAACAAAAAAAAAATAATAACAAAAAAGTTAAAAAAATAAAATTTGAAGAGTATAAGCTTGTAACGAGACGTACAAAACCTATTTTGTTACATTTTGCTAATTTTCGTCGTTGGGAAAATCATCAAGAAGAATCTTGCTAAGATCTTGTGTTACTTCGACGTATCTATTGCTTCACCCAAACCAAGATTATGCTCACCGTCTCTCACCTCTTTGATCCTTCAGTTGATGCAGGCTTGGGCGGCTCCTCCTCCTTGGCTGGCGGCGCAGGCGGCGGCGGTGGTGCTGTGGTGATGCCGTCATCAATGCAGCTGCGGCACTTCCTCTCCACCCACCCCTCAACGTCATGTTCACCGTGGCCCCCAACATGACGGCCCCCACAGAGGCGAGCGATGACCCCTGCTATAACTCCGAGTATTGTGATGACTGCTAAAACTACCACGAGTGTCTCTATTGAATGGCTTGTAGAGTGGCTGATCGGTTCGACCTCCACTGCCGGAGGCGGTGGCTCTACTAGCGGCGGCAGCTGATTGGCTAGAGCCATTGGGTTTACTAGTGAGATCAGTGAACAATATAACAAGTGAAAGATTTCAAGAAAATCAGCAAACTATGTAGGATATTTCACAAGTGTGTGCAGGTGACTGGAGAATGAGAGTATCAACTATTCGAGCTATTAGGGTTAGTAAGTGTGTGTGTGTGTGTGTGTGAGAGAGAGAGAGAGAGAGAGAGAGAGAGAGAGAGAGAGAGATTCTTTTTCAAGAGCCAAAAAATGCTGAAAAAGTTCTCGAGTCCCATTAATTTTTATTTTTTTAATTATAGTCATAAAGTTAACTTACTTTTTTTTTTTGGAGAATTAAGTTATCTATGTAAGGTTCATTTCCCAATTTGTCCATATTGATATCACATGTTGAAATAAATATACATGCCACAGTTAAATCTATATAAATTAATACAGCAATAATTATTAAATTTCTATTAATTCAGCAAAATTTTAAATTATTGAGCTAATATTTTAGTATGTTTTTTCCAAGTTTGGGCTGGAAAAGAAATAGATTCTAAGACAGGTTATTAATTTATTGAGTATCTAACCGCATATCTCAATATCTTGATATGTTGTATCTAATAGGGGCAAATATGTGCCAAACATTCTCTCAATGTGATAATACTATAATATTTACAATATGATTTTATGAGAAGTGACGTCATGCAGATATCTAACGGGCCTTATGTGGGCCCATGTTTAGTAAGGGAAATCCAAGATAAATGGGCCTATGAGTAATTACCCAAAAATAGAGAGGGAAAAATGTAATTAATTAGAATGACAACTCGTGTAATTAGGAAAGAAAGCGCGTTTTGTTTTTTTTTTTTGAGAAAAATTGGAAAGCGCTTTTAAGCGTAAATAAGAAATTATTTATACCTATAAGAAAACATCAAATTGAGATTGAATTGAACAACTCCCCGTTGAGATTCCCGGAAGCTTCTTCGATCCTCGATTCTCCGCCACTGTATTTTTTTCCAACGCGGAATTCGGGGATTGGAGGAAATCTAGCCCGGAACAAATCCAGGAAATCCTTTTTCCCCTGTCGAATTATCCTCGTCGGAGCTCTCTCTCTCTCTCTCTCTCTCTCTCTCTCTCTCTCCATAGACAAACAAGAAAGAGATGGGGACTCCGGCGTTTCCGAATCTGGGGAAACACTGCAGCGTTGACGATTGCCGCCAGATCGATTTCCTCCCCTTTACATGCGATTGCTGCCAAAAGGTAATTTTACCATATTTATTTATTTACAATTGTGCTTAATTCCACCAAATTAATTTAGCTTTTTTTAGTTTTGGAAGCTGAGATATTGGATGAGTTTTGCACTTATTGCTTGATCTGTGTACAGATTGACATTTCGCATTTATCTTATGCATCTATGTATGTATGTATATGTGCGCTACAGTGTGTGTTTCTGTGTGTTTGACCTTGAATTTTGGTCAAACTTCCAGGCAATCGGATTCTGTCAACAATCGAATATTGCTGATTCGATATGTTCTTCTTTATATGTTTGAAGTAGGAAGATCTATACATTCGTTAATGATCGTTATGGATTTCTAACTAAATTAAGTTATCGTTTTTCGAGCCAAAGTAATGTTCGTTATTTACGATTTTGTTGAGTTATAGTATCGAAGATATGTTTACGTTTACGCACGTACACTATTTACGCAACTGCCACTCCCTATTTTCCCTTTCTGTCGTCAAGCAATTACGTTTCTCAAAAGGCTCGAACGTATACTACGATTTTTTCATTACCCTATCATGTTTTATTTCTAAGCCAAGTGAAATGTAACAAACACAGGTGTACTGTCTCGATCACCGAAGCTACAGTCGGCATCAATGTCCGAAAGGCAACAAACACGATGTCACCGTCGTCATCTGCCCCCTCTGTGCAAAAGGGGTCCGATTAATCCCCGAGGAAGATGCCAACATCACGTGGGAATCACACGTAAACACAGAATGCGATCCATCAAATTACGAACAAGCCACCAAGAAAAAGAAATGCCCCGTGCCTCGATGCAGAGAGATTCTAACATTCTCGAACAAAATCAAATGCAGGGATTGTGATATCGACCATTGTCTGAAACACCGATTCGGGCCCGACCACACATGTCCTGGGCCTAAAAAGCCCGAACCCGCGTATCAGTTCATGGGCAGCTTTCTCAATAGAAGCAAGAAAGATCAGCCAAGAAAAGAAGCTGCTGCAGCCGCCACGTCATCAAATTGGGCCTCGAGTTTTCTCAAGGTAGCTTCATCAAATTGGGCGAAATTGAGCAACGAGTTTAGTCAGACGTTGAGTACTACTACTAACGGAACAGGACAGAGCAGCGGTAGTAGTAGTAGTAGTAGTAGCCAGAGTGGAAAAACGGAAGTTTGCCCACAGTGCAAGTTGAGATTCGCTAATGTAGGAGCTCTTGTGGAACATGTGGAGAGAGTTCACGAACGGAACGGGGTTATGAAGGTGACCCTTGATGTGTGCCCTAAATGCAGTAAAGGATTCCGGGATCCCGTTTTGCTTGTACAGCATGTGGAGAGAGAGCACGGAGGTGTATCGAAAGCTTAAAATCGGAAAGTGAGTTGTTGTCAAATGTTTGTTTGGGAATTTAATTGTGTGCACAGCAGTAAGCTATTCTTTGATTTGGATTGTGTTGTTTTTAAACACATGTTGTACTATGTAGTTAGTTAAAGACAAGTTTGGCCTTCTTCTTCTGAATATTCACGAATTCTAAATTCTACAATTCTTTCTCAGACCCTTTTAAAGGGCTACAAGAAAATATTAAGAAATAAATTAAATTTGATATGTATGTATCTATATAAACGGTAAACCTATATATATATAGGGTAAATTACAAACACCCCCCTAAGGTATGGTCAAATTACAAAAACACCCCTCTTGTTTGGATAATTACAACCACCCCCTCAACTCCTCAAATTTAGTGGAATCTTCGAGATTATATGGAATATTATCACTTTTGTACCCGTTTTATCCCATTCAAACTCTACATTATGAAGCAAGATGATCATAATATGTGATTTTTAGCTTGTATATATCAGTTTATGGTGCATCGGAAACAATATTTTTTACACAAAACGAGTACAAACTAGAGCACATTTCACGGAATCTAGATGATTATGTTGAATTTGGCACCATAAGGGTGAAGGTGTAAGAAAAAATCATAGTTGAGGGGGTAGATGTAATTATCCAAACAAGAGGGGTGTTTTTGTAATTTGACCATACCTTAGGGGGGTGTTTGTAATTTACCCTATATATATATAGGTTTACCGTTTATATAGATACATACATATCAAATTTATGGTCAAATTACAAAAACACCCCTCTTGTTTGGATAATTACAACCAGCCCCTCAACTCCTCAAATTTAGTGAAATCTTCGAGATTATATGGAATATTATCACTTTTGTACCCGTTTTATCTCATTCAAACTCTCCATTATGAAGCAAGATGATCATAATATGTGATTTTTAACTTGTATATATCAGTTTTCGGTGCATTGGAAATTGTATTTTTACACAAGAGCACATTTCACGGAATCTAGATGATTATGTTGAATTTCGCGTTTTCCCTCTTTTCTATTTTCTTTCAATCCATTAAATATTAAAACGGCGTCGTTCCTTTCTTCCCCCTCCAATCGTTTGTTCAATTTCTTTTCCCTTTTCTTTCTTTTACGATTTTCCTACCGTACCGGCGGTGTTCTTTCTTGCAGATTTTTTACCCTACTGTTATTGGCTTACTGTTTGGGCTGTGCAGAACGTTATTTTTCTTCCTCTTCTTCGATTCCAACCTGCTGCGTCTTGTTCCTATCACTGTAATCTCAGGCTTCTTGTGATTTCAGTCGCGCGTTTTACGGTTCTCTCCCTCCGACAGCGTCGTCAGCTCAGGCCTTCCTTTTCCGACCAAATTACTGGTCAGCAATCCCTTCTCTTCCTCCAAGGAACCAAATCGCCATTTTAATTTTTTTTTTCCATCGCTTATTATTTTAACCTTTCCGTGTGTGTTTGTTAAGTTTTCTGGTGAGACTTTGTGTAAAAATATGGA